CCGATTCGCATTGCCACGTTTCAACCCCGAAAGGGTGCATCCTTTGTCGTCGAAGTATCCGTTGCCCGACGTCACCATGCTCAGTCGCAACAACCGCAAGAACAGCTTCGACATAAGTGCGAAGAAGCGTCCAGACGCGCGTACCAGCGAGGACACTGAAGGTAAATGTCCGCATTTTTTATTCTAAACAATTGGAAATCTCAGGGAAATATCAATTGGAAAAAAACAACACTGTAATCACCCGGTAAATAGTTGTGTAAAAATTACATTATACCAATGTTATAATCTCCCGATTGAATTGGAAATTGTAACGTTGAGGCGATGTTACTATTATTCCCCAGACAACACAGTGTCTAAATCGGGTCATAAGACGTTTTAAAGATATCTTTAAGATATTTTTAAGACGTCTTATATCTCGATTATTGATATTGTGTTGTTCGGGTTCGGTGTTAACTGGGCATTAATCGGGGAAATACAAAATGTTCTCACCTTTGCCTGCAAAATTAATTTTATGTTCATTCTTGATTTCTAAAGTTAGTCATATAAAAATTTATTACCGGTTTAATTACGGACTTATAAGCTCTTGTATTATTATATTGTATTATTATATTATATATTATTATTAAGTTGATGTAAAAGTTCACTTCGTTTTTTTAATCAGTTCTTCGCACAGAAGTCTTAAAATTTCTACGAGCGCAGCTACCGGAGAAATGGCGAGTCATTGAGCAAATTAACGCATACTTAACTGATTGATTGTATCATAAAATAAATAAATACTTTATGTATATTTTGATTAAAAATAGAACGAATTTTTGTATTAACCCAATAGATGTAGAAATAACATGCCTATACAAAATTAGTCATTTAACTGTAGAAGCTTAAATATATAAAAAATAAAGCAAAATACAAAGAAATGTTCCCGACAAAAGTTTCAGGATTTCGAGGAAAGTATAAGTTCGTAATCATAACTTCGTTGTATAGGCAATAATTCAAGATCATTTCAAGATAAACTTCATTTTTTCAAATAGAATCGTGCCGTTTTTTTAAATACAAATCGATTTTTAATACAAGTCGATTTCTCTGTTCATTCTGTGTATAAAAGTACTAAGATAAGATCATCGAAAAATGAATAATTTTTGAGTTACTTTATTTTTCATTCTGATATTTTTCAGTATAAAATATGAAACATCTCATAGAATATCGATTTTTCGATAAAATTATCTTAACACTTTCGTACATAGAATAAGAAGTGGAATCGATCACTGTAAGCAAACATAGAAAAACCTTAAAAAAATTCGTCACAATTTGCAAATGCTTCGATGCCCTAATGTGCAATGATAAATATCAGTAATCGATTTTTCTTATATTATTATATAGAAAAATATCGTTACGCCCGCGTTTAGGGACATTTCGATATTTATCGATAGTTCCGCTGCAAAAAACTTGGAAATCTTGGACAAGCGATTTTATATATTTTTATAAACTTGAGTTTTCATTTCATTTCCGTATGCGAGCGCAACAAACGCTATATTTTTTTCGAACGCAACAATATTAACAGTTACATTATATTTATGTTATAATTTCCTATTCAACAATGTAAATGCAATACATCACATTGTTACATTATATTTATATTGTTGAATAAGAAATTATAACAATAAATAATGTAATGCTCAATGTTGACTGGGAACTGATTATACTTCGCGAAATACATGTATTATTGTAATTGTAAATTTGTAAATGTAAATAATGTATATTTATTTTACAAATATGTAACATGAATTAAATTAAATTAACAGATGATCTTAAGAGGAGTATCTTCGAGGGATAAAGCAAATTTGAATATCATTTCGCTGCCGAAACGTCAATAAACTATTTCCTGAGGAATATGTTTGGATGAACATATGGACAAAGTAGGGCTAAATCCGTCGTCCTGTTCTGAGACCGAATTGATACCATCGAAAGACAATGATTCATGGTAATCTTAATTAAAAGATACAATATATAATTTATTTATCTTCACGTATAATTTTATCAAATTATATACATGGTGGTTCACATAACTCTTAACAATTCGGTATCTCTTCATCTGAAACTATTTCATCTGAAACTATTTCATTGGCTTTACAGATTTAGGTTTTGAATTGTATGGACTTTTACGCTGGAATGGAAGTTGAAATGAAAGATCTATACAATTCAAGATTTAAATCTTTAAAATCGATGGAACAGTTTCCGAAATATCGAGTTGCTAAGAATTATGTGGGCCACTCTGTATAAATAAGTAGATTTTTATGTGTGGAATATAATTAGATAATTAGATAATTAATTTCCGACATTTCCTCTTTCACTCTCTCTCTCTCTCTCTCTCTCTCTCTCTCTATATATATATATATATATATATATATATATATATGTATATAAATGTTTCTTTTTTCATATAGAATATTATTTCATACGGTGTGACTTAAGATATGCAATTCATGTAATACCCATGTAAGAATGTATTTCCACAATTGTTATATTTTTGTCGTATCAATAGAAAAATTCGATATAATGCCGTTTAGAATTTTAGGGTAGATTTCATACGATTATATAATATCGAAACATTATTTAAACAAAAAATTTATAATCTATTGCCGTTAAACCAATTAATATACTAATTATCAATTGTGACGTAAAATATAATTCGTGAAGCACTAATCAATACAAACGACTGATTCAATCAAATATTATGACTCGGGTGTTCGTGCGAAGGAATAAGGATCAAAGAATAAGATATTACGAATTAAACGGATGTAAGAATATAAGATTGATTTATTCCATAGACGTAAACTTATATACAAAAGATGACGTATATACTTGTGTGATGGTCATAAAAGACTCGCCGCCATGGACCAATTGTAACGATAGTAGTATTCGACTAAAGGAGACCCAACTAGACGAAGCGATGCGGCAGTGAACGGTACATCTTAGGGAAAGGTATAGCAATAATAACAATAATAATAGTGAATAGCATCGAGTGTAACTGCTTAGAAGCATTTGCGGTGGACGATACCGGGGCCGGACTCGTCGTACTCCTGCTTGGAGATCCACATCTGCTGGAAGGTGGACAGGGAAGCCAAGATGGAACCACCGATCCATACGGAGTATTTCCTCTCGGGGGGAGCGATGATCTTGATCTTGATGGTCGAGGGCGCGAGGGCCGTGATTTCCTTCTGCATACGATCGGCGATACCAGGGTACATGGTGGTTCCACCGGAGAGAACGTTGTTGGCGTACAGGTCCTTACGAATGTCGACGTCGCACTTCATGATCGAGTTGTAGACAGTTTCGTGAATACCGCAAGATTCCATACCCAGGAAGGAAGGCTGGAAGAGAGCCTCGGGTGTGCGGAACCTCTCGTTACCGATGGTGATGACCTGACCGTCAGGCAACTCGTAGCTCTTCTCGAGAGAAGTGCTGGCGGCAGCGGTAGCCATTTCCTGCTCGAAGTCCAACGCGACGTAGCAGAGTTTCTCCTTGATGTCGCGAACGATTTCTCGCTCAGCCGTGGTGGTGAAGCTGTAGCCTCTCTCGGTGAGGATCTTCATGAGGTAGTCGGTAAGATCGCGACCGGCCAAGTCCAAACGGAGGATGGCGTGAGGAAGAGCGTAACCTTCGTAGATGGGTACGGTGTGGGATACACCATCGCCGGAGTCCAAGACGATACCGGTGGTACGACCGGAGGCGTACAGGGAGAGGACGGCCTGGATGGCGACGTACATGGCCGGGCTGTTGAAGGTTTCGAACATGATCTGCGTCATCTTTTCGCGGTTAGCCTTGGGGTTCAGGGGTGCTTCGGTGAGAAGGACCGGGTGTTCTTCGGGAGCGACACGCAGTTCATTGTAGAAGGTGTGGTGCCAGATCTTCTCCATATCATCCCAGTTGGTGATGATACCGTGCTCGATCGGATATTTCAAAGTCAGGATACCTCTCTTGCTCTGGGCCTCGTCGCCCACGTAGCTGTCTTTTTGACCCATACCGACCATCACACCTTGATGACGGGGTCGGCCGACGATCGAGGGGAAGACGGCGCGAGGGGCGTCGTCTCCGGCGAAACCGGCCTTGCACATGCCGGAGCCATTGTCTACGACCAGAGCAGCTACTTCGTCGTCACACATTGTGGTTTTCCTTCGATTTCAACGCTCTGTAACAGACAAATCGTAACGTCTTTTACATTTAATTTACGTCGTTTCGATATTCTATGATGGTCGTTTATAATCTGATACCTATCTGTTATCTTGATATATCATTGTTATATTAACACAATATGTAATTCTCGCTCCTCTCCGAAAAAAATGTTTCACGTTACGTGCCACTAACATCTTATTATCGAAAATATTGACACTGCAAGGGTGTTATGAAAATCCAACGATGAGTTGTTAAAAATAATGTGTTATAAAGATGTAATTTTGTCTCATTATTTAAATTGTACGATATTAGGTAGACAAATGCGAATCGAGGATTAAAATTGTTTTCGTACTTCACGGTACACTGTAAAGTGCAGTGAAACAAAATTAATTCAGTTTAATTTAAAGAATTCCCGGTTGGGCATGAAGAGATGACATGTAGAATCTCAAAGAAAGGTATCACTTTAGATATATTTGATAATGATAATCGTAAGTCACACGAGTTTCTCGAGGAAGTCCCCGGCCGAACGTTGCACGAAGCCAAAATTGACCCAGTTGCCTATAAAGCGATAGGCAAGCGGCCCCGGCGTCGGGGCGCTATTTTCACCCGGCGCGTCGCTAACTTTAGACAAACGGACGACGGACGCTCCCTAATAAGTTCAAGCGACGATTATGGTGGCCGACGCCGCTGCAGCCGCCGCCGTTGCCGCCGCCGACAACGACGACGACGACGACGATGAATAAAACATAACGCCAACGAAGCAGCGCCAACGAACATGCCAAAATTATGCCCGTCCGCGGAAAAGGACGTAACATCGCCGCACGGCCGAAGACCTCGACTATGCGATTGTGAACATGAAGACGGCCACGTTCGCATATAACTCGCGGCCTTTTATGGGCCGGCTTTGCGGTAACCGTTGGTTACCGTCAACGATTATTCGATATACTTCTAATATCTTGTTAGTTACAATTCTAGAAAGAACCAAAGAAAAAAAATAGCACTCGAACTGAGTTCAAAGTTAATCGACGTTGAAGAAACTACTGTATGGAAGAAGCAATTTTAGAGATTGGCGGAGTAGACGCTAAGGGTTCGATCGTTAGCGAATGATTCCTTTTATGGACACTCCGAGCTTAGTACGCTTGATTCATAGCCGAGGGGGATGTTTCACGATCCGTTAAAAGATTTTTCACAAAAATAAATGATACGATCTTTAAATCGTTAGGTAGTACGAAGATGTTTCTCAAACTATGTTTAATCGTAAGATGTATATTTTATATTTTTGTTAGTTTAGATCGTACTTCCAGTCCTCTTTTATATTATGTCATAATTTCTGTCATCAAGTTTACGCGGTGTTGAGGTGTACAAGCCGCTGCTACATTGAAATTTGAAGTTCAAAATTCGAAGTTTTTCAACTGACCTTCAAACTATATTTACTTGGCGAATTTAGCTTTCCTGATGCGTGTAAATTTTTGCATTTATGTGATCTTGTTAAGTTGCACCGAGAAATATTTTGTTGACTTACGTAACAATTCAAGCGTTCCGATGCAACAGAATTAGTCGGTGGATATATACTTGGTTACGTATTTTGTTATCGCGTTCAAGTATTATTTGACAATTTCCTATTGAGATTGATATGTTAAGAATTTGCAATGTCCGAAAAAATTAAATCACCTTGATTTATGCAGGACTCGCCTGTTATCGGGACAAGGAAGGTGCGTATCATGCAAAGGTATTATCCGAGCGGTTTGACATTGCGCCAAGATTCGATCTCAATGGATGTAACACTATGAACTTGAACTTCCCCTGAGATAACAAGAGACTAAACAGTGTTTGTCAGGCAAGTATTGATATTAAATCAAAAGTAGTTGGATAAAATTCACCATATCCCGATTGCGCCTTGAAATTACTCAGTGACAGTTCTGTGAGATACTTTTATAGATTTAAGTCTGATCTGTTTATCAAAATCAAAGAAGAAGCAATTCTAATGATAATTTGAGCCCTTTGGATAGAATCGAATCTAATTCGTTGATCAGAAATAATTGAAAATAAGACACAATATTCCCTATTCTCCTTTTCTATCTCAAGTGTTAGTTAATTCAGAGAGAGAGAGAGAGAGAGAGAATGACAAGAGTGTCGATTAATTTAGATAATTCTAACAGTTCAGCTTGAATTCATCGAATAAATTCAACTCCGATGTTTGGATTGAACGATCAATTCAGTGAGAAGAGGCTGTTCGCGTAGATGGATTGATCTCGGGTGATGTCCCGCACAAAAGTATCTCCGGATAACAAGAGGAGGATCACCGGCGGCTAATCGGCACTCTTATTCTCGTCAAATCACTGTAAGGGACGCTTCGACGGCAGGCAGGTGTCACAGAAGCGGAAAGAAAGCGATCAGCAGTCCTCCGTAATGGAAGAGCCACGAGTACGTACGTATGTATACTCGGCGGTAGCGGATTCGAATTTGTGCGGATGCGTTTCTTCTACGTACCGTGCACGGGACAGAGGTGGAGCGGCGTCTGTGCCTCGGCGGCGTCGCGACGTCGATTATATGCTCTCGTTTAGACGCCCCCACAATTTCGTGGGATGGTGCCTGGCCGACAGGCACGAAAAAGGCTCGCCTCGCGGGGCGTCGCGACGCTCGCCGAACTAGGCGGCCGCAGCCCCTAAGCGGAGACGAACATGCTCACCGCTTTGGAAATACTCCGGCATTCCTGCTTAGAAGACAGCCGGTCGCATCAGCACGAATTAACGTTAACCTTAGAATTGACGAATTCCCTTTTTCCCGTTCTTTAACGGCACGAGCCGTTTCGATGGCGGTTAAAAGTTGATCGGAATTCAAGCGATCCTCTCCTCTCCTGTATGTATCTAAATGGAAGTAAGGAAGCATTGGTCGAAGTGTGTAGCTAAGTTTGATTTGTACTTGATGAAAATAACGCCTGCGTGGAGAGAAAAGTGATCGTTAACGTGGAATGTATTTTGCTCCTCTTGTATTTCTATAATTCTACGGAGAGAGTTTATTCTTAAACTGTTATCTATAAAAATACTATCATTCGCCTCATTTGGTCGGGGGATATTCTGTTTTACAAAGAACCGTACAGAAAACACAAAATGCTCCCACGACATATGCATGCAGTCCTTTCTTTTCTTTTCTTTAAGACGCTTTCTAGACTTTTACTTGCAAACGTTTTTAAGACGTCTTACGTCCCGATTTTAGATGTTCCATTGTCTGGGCTCTTCCTCTAACACGATTTTTTTTTTTTTTAATAAAGATTATTGTATAATTTTTGGCTTTACCTAGATTTTCGTCGGCCGACGAAATACATGTGAA